AATGTTATTCAAAGGCAGTACCTCACAAAACACTACTGGGTAGGTGAAGGTAACCTTGAAATTTTTTGAATTGTGAGACTGACCTTTGACCTGAACGATCACATGACCAACCCACTCAAATGAACCCATTCCCCTGGTTGCCTTTGCACTGAGCAGTCAGCCTTCTCACATTGCTCGGTAGTTCCAGCGTCCTTATTAAATGTCATGGACCCCACCACTCACCCTATCTACCTGGCATGCCTTGGGTGCAACCATTTGAATTCATTGTGGGTGGGGGAGTGGGGGTACGCCTTGCTTTGTAGGAAGGAAAATACATGTATAGTGCACTTTTCTGGATGGCTTGACTACAAAGAATACATTTATGTATGTTTTTAAAAAACAATACAATAGAGCATCTGTTATGTTAAAAAATAAATATTTAAAGAAAATGCTCATGTCAAACCAGCAAAATAGCCCCTGGAAACCAAATGGTTTCTTCATTATCCGGAGATGATCAAAATAGTTACAGATTCGTTAAAGCATTTCATTGTCAGAATATTACATTGTCAGAGTGCATAAGGGCTACAACAAATACACTCTAAGGCAATATGTTTTGTGAATATATAGCAATGAATACAAATATTTATTCATGAATACTTTATGCTTATTACCAAGGATTTGAAATACTAAACATGTAATGTAATTGCTTAAGTTGAAACATTTCAGTGATATTATCTGTAAAGCACAATACCAATACATCTCAAACAATGCTGCTTAAAGCCTAATGACAGTGCTGTATGGGGCCTCAGCTAAATAACACAAGCTACTTTACATGGCTTGGATCTAGTCCAGTGTGCATATCTCACTCAGATAAACAATAAACTGTTACAAAGTGAAAAATATTCGCTTAAAAACATTTGTAAATATTTGATTCTATAAATTTAATTCACGAAAGGATACAACTCAATTCATTGAATATGCAAGTGAATCATAATCATAATGATAATGGGACTAATTTGAAAATCCCTAACAACTACTAACATATTCATTTCTATTCTCCATCTGTTGTGTAGCGGACTTAATATTTTCTCGCATAATGTCACCATTAACTATAACAGTAAGTAAGTATTACATCACTTCCCGCAATGATCCAGCAACAACCTGGTAAGGACACCCAAAAAGGGCATCACACGCTGTTGAAAATAAATCCCAGGCTTTCTGCATGACAAGCAAACACTTCAACCACAATGCCACCCTACCATCCCATTCACTTTACAAAAACAATTAATCCAAATATATACTGGAGCAGGTCTCCAGATAATTTTTCAACATCAGGAGTACGTACTCCTTATTTGTTCAATATAGGAGTACTGGAAAACCTTAAGAGTACATTTAGAGTACTGAATGGAATTTAATGACGTATCAGTAATCCTGTGTTTCGTTTCATATATGCACCACAACATTGCTACTCTTGTGTAAACTCGTCACGGTATGGCTGAAATATTGCCGATGTGACGTTAAATATTAACTCACTCACTCACTCTTGTGTAAACAGGTCAATAAACAATAAAACAATACTTTTTCAGATAAATACGTTTGTAAATGATTCAAAGACCATTCACCATTGCTGTGGTGCGTATCTGCTACGTTTTCTAAATTATTTACTGCCGTATCGTGTATATTTTCTATCCGTACATACTTCAATACGGCCCTTATCTGGAGCCCTGCTGGAGTATAAGTCAACAATATATCCTGTCTATATCAGAGTAACCTATACGTAAACCAAGCCTGGACCAAGTTCATCAATGGTTGATAGCAGAAGGGATGCCAAGAAGTTACCATGGTTACAATGACAGCCTTTAACAGCCTTATGAATGAGGTGCATGATCCATATTCTACCTAATCTTCTTCAGAATCTCTATTGGGATCATTTAAAGTACCGATAGGACATAGCTAGGATCCCAAATCAAAAGAGCCTAGGAGGTGAAAAATATCATTATTTATTCAGCAAAATAATATTTTTTGGTTAAACATGCTAAAGTTATGCTTTTCTTTGATAATCTTTAACACTGCACTTAATAAGTTCAATGCAATCAAAACATAAAAGCCACTTAGAAATCTTTATAGGCCTTGTTTCCTGTGAAACTGAAGTCTCCTCTGTCATATCATAAAGCAGTGACATAAGTTACTGTTGGTTATAAATATAACATCGTGAATAAGAAAAATTAAATTTATTCCATTTGGGGAAAATATGTACTGACACCTGCAGCAGACTTAGGGCTAAATATCGCCTCTGAGCGTGTCCAGATACATCCCTTTATTGTTTTTTCCATCTACACATACAAATACATCTACATGCACATTTTCAGTATCTTCTACCCCACAAGTGAAAGTTGTGTTTTACAGTAGTTTAGTTACATCATGATGTATGATCAATGTGGGAAGACATCTAGAGGTGACAGCAAGGAGCACAAACATTCATACAATTGTGTATTTTCATATTCAAGGATACGATGTTAAACTATTCTATACGGTAACAGTGCATTGAAAAACTCAACTAATAGTGACAATCTTAACTCATTACACCAGTTCATTTCTAAAAGTAACCGCTTCCAGTGATTAACCTTTCAACATATATATTCAGTGCAAGACAAATTTTATATAACGTGATTTTCTGTGGCAGCCCATTTCGTTGCTAGGCATAACCAACACCACAACAAACATATTTGTTACTCAATCATATATCTGTTATGGTATTATTCTTTTGTTGTCAAATTATTTCATTATGTATCCAGCTATTTGAACAATGTACTGGAGCGGCGTTTATATAAGCCACTAGGCTTGTTCGCCTATCCAGGTTGTTGCTTTTGCCTACTGAAATAAAAATATGTTTAAACCAAACAGTTATAATGAGCAGGTGTGATTTTCCTATTGTAATTCATGGCAATACTGACTGATGCACTGTGATACATACTACACACAGTACAGTACATAGCACCTAGTCCTCTAAACTCTGATGTGTTATAAATTTGAACAGAAATGGGCTCCTACATCAGACTACCCTGACACATTGTTGACAACTATGTTGTGTAAAGTCTTTGAATGGCATTCAGAAGTGATACACGTAAAAGGCGAGAATTTACGGATATCAACTTCCTTATTATGAGGAACATGATGTTTTGGTATATATTCCTTTATCATGTGAATAATGAAGGAGGAACTTTATTGTCATCTGCCATATTTTTGGATGTCGTTATGGTTACAACACATGCATAATGTACACATGATATATAGGAAACTGGTTGCGCATAGTTTTCGATCACAGGAAACAAGACTTTAGTTGCTATTTCTGAATTAAATAATTGCAGTTTGACTTCCCACTTATGAAAACCAACTTTGCCAACAAGATGTAAATATGCATGATTTCTAAAAAGGTAATATACCACTATTTTCCAAAAGTATTGTGATATGTATTCATTAGTTATAAGTTCATAATATTCTTGTAATACAGCACGCCTGTAATGATGGTCAAGTTGAATCTGTGACCGTGTGCTTCTAGCATTGTAAACTCCCAAGAGGATTACATGGACAACCTAGGACTCAAACCTATGACTATGGGTCAAAACGTAGCACATTGTAGCTCCTCAGATGACAGGCTGATGCTCAGACTCTGAACATATATAAGTGTGACGCTGATCACAACCATTGTCAGTTCTGAGAGTGACAGTACATTATGCCAGGACCTCACAGAATTCCCAGAAGACAAGACAGAAGGCATCTCTCCACAGAATATACACAGAATGTGTTGAGCAAGCTGCTGACAGTACATCCCAGGGTTGGTGTGAAGCCAGGTTCCTACATAGGTGTCAGATGGAATCCACATCACACATTGCAGCCATGACACCACATGACTTTTTGACAATTTACATGAAAAATACATGTACTTTTAACAGACAAATTTCGTACAAGTCAGTACATACAAGCAGTTAGTTTCATACTAGTCAGTACATGTCGAATATAAACATTCAACGGACTAATGAAGAAGTTGCATATTTTATCTACAATGTTGATGTTGACAATGGTATGTCTCTTCCCACCGAAAATTGAACAATATTCTTTCAAGCTGGACCACACTTTGGTCTCTTTGTGAGGATGGGCCTGAGTTACATAATAGTGAAATTTATTATAATTAAAAAATCTCGTTTCACATGACTTTTTTAAAAATGGGTAGGGAGTGAGGATTTACATTTCTTATATATTTGGGTAGGTTACAAATCATCAAAAATGAACTTGATTTCAATCAACTACTTCTAACTAACGCACACCGAGGTTGGCATGAGGCCATTGTGACAATGGTTCTCTGTGAATCAGAAACACATGAATGGCATGTGAAAAAAGTGGGAATCTGGTACAAAACTGAAATACCGGGTACATATCAGAAAAGTGTTGGAAAATCTACAGAACCGTAACCTAAGTTCGTGGATAACCTTGATTCGTGGATCACGATAATTATCATGCTCCTATTATGAACTCTCATGAATTATATTTTTACAAAAAATGTCAAGTAAAAGATACCGTCAGCACCAACCTTCTCAAATCTCGTCATCTGCTTTCCTAGAGTCAATACTTACTGCAATGGGCTGTCGAACATAGTGATATATCATAACCGAATAACGTAATCCAAGAAACAAGGTGACGTCAAATGTTGTGTGCACACGAATGGGTGATGATTGCAAATGGCTTTGGTAAACAAACGTTTCATTCATGAGTGGAATATCAGGCATTTTCAATTTGCTTAATCAATGAATAAATTAATCAGTGAGTATACAAAATGAGATCATGCATTTAAAATATGATTTTCACTGCACTTCCCTTATATCCACGAATTAAGGTTACGCGAGTGTATTATTTTTTGACCTAATGAAGATAATTTGGAGTACAAGCAGTCTATGTAATGCAAGACAGTTGTTTGAAATAAAACAAATATACGATAAAAACCATGTGAGTGAAGGTGCACTGACCGGGAGGTACAGCAGGGGCACTGTTCTGCACCGATCCTCCTCCTCCCCCGGAGAGATGGACAGCTAGTCGGTGTTTCACAGCAGAATCATAGGGAGGCACTAACACCGAACCACTACTACTGGCACAAGGTGATTCCCGGCTTCCAGCACTCCTACTACTAGACATTATAGTACAGCTGAAACAGAGAGCAATATGGTCAGTTATTGCATAGAGGCAGATAGTAAAGTGGAGCATGTTGGGTGAGGGTGTGGGTGAGAATGTGAGTGGGTGAGTGATTTAAAGAGTAGTTGAGTTTGTGGGTGAGCGGATGGGTGTGTGTATGGGTGTGCATATGGGTGGTGGGTGACTGGCATGGTAGCTTGTTAGGGTAGAAGGCATGTTAACTTGTTAAAGTAGAAGGCATGTTAACTTGTTAGGGTGACTGGCACATTAATTTGTAAAGAGTGGAAGGCATGTTAATTTGTTAGCATAGAAGGCATGTTAACCTGTTAGCACAGAAGGCATGTTAATTAATATGCTAGGGTGACTGGCATGTTAACTTGTTACCTTGAAGGCATGGTAACATGTATGGGGAATCATGTTAACTTGTTAGGGTGACTGGCATGTTAATAAAACTTGTAAGGGAAGAAGGCATGTTAACTTGTTAGGGTGACTGGCATGTCAACTTGTTATGGTGACTGGCATGTCAACTTGTTAGGGTGACTGGCATGTTAACTTGTTAGGGTGACTGGCATGATAACTTGTTAAGGTGACTGGCATGTTAATTTGTTAGGGTGACTGGCAATGTCAACTTGTAAGGGTGACTGGCATGTCAACTTGTTAGGGTGACTGGCATGTTAACTTGTTAGGGTGACTGGCATGTCAACTTGTTAGGGTGACGGGCATGTCAACTTGTTAGGGTGACTGGCATGTTAACTTGTTAGGGTGACTGGCATGATAACTTGTTAAGGTGACTGGCATGTCAACTTGTTAGGGTGACTGGCATGTTAATTTGTTAGGGTGACTGGCATGTCAACTTGTTAGGGTGACTGGCATGATAACTTGTTAAGGTGACTGGCATGTCAACTTGTTAGGGTGACTGGCATGTTAACTTGTTAGGGGGGGAAAGGCATGTTAATTTGTTAGGGTGACTGGCAATGTCAACTTGTAAGGGTGACTGGCATGTCAACTTGTTAGGGTGACTGGCATGTTAACTTGTTAGGGTGACTGGCATGTCAACTTGTTAGGGTGACTGGCATGTCAACTTGTTAGGGTGACTGGCATGTCAACTTGTAAGGGTGACTGGCATGTCAACGTGTTAGGGTGACTGGCATGTCAACGTGTTAGGGTGACTGGCATGTCAACTTGTTAGGGTGACTGGCATGTCAACTTGTTAGGGTGACTGGCATGTCAACTTGTTAGGGTGACTGGCATGATACTTGTTAGGGTGACTGGCATGTTAACTCGTTTGATTTCTAGACAAGGGCTAATATCTACAAGTCTTCACTAGATTGCTTTAACAATCTCTGAAAACAAGCATGGTCAAAGGGAGATAATTCTTCAATTCCAGTCAATTCACTGCAACAAATGTACTGTTTATACAGAAATATTGTTTTATTGTTTCTTTATGTTCAAATATTTCTAATTTTATACGATATAAATCAAGCTACTATCTGACGTATATTATCTGAGGGACATTTTTGTACCTACTGCTCTGTTGGGATGCAATGATATAGTTTGTCAGATCCAATATGTATGAAATTTAGGGCGGTTTATTCTGCAAAATAAAAATCTCTCTGTACCTACTTAGACATGTCAGAACTAAACTATCACTAAGTGTCCCACACAATATGCGATCTGTGAATACATGGATTACATACATGATACTATAGCACATTAATCCGTAGGTGAAGTGACAACAGAATATGGCCATAGAGACATTGTATATGGTGGAAATGGGACAATGTCACGCCTGAGTGATTGCCTGACATCCTTGTGTTGCCTGACCTCCACTTTAACAGACAACAATGATCAACAATAAGTACCATGCAGTGCAGCAGCTCTGTCAATGTTAACGGAAGAATATATGATATGAATGTGATGGTGCAGAATGCACTCCGTCAGATGAAGTATGGTGATTGGGATCAAATCAGGGAAGGAGGGAGAGGGCAGGAGAGGGAGTAAAAATCAGCAGTCACATCGGCAGTATTTCAGCCATATCGTGAGAGGGAAAGAGAGGAGGGAGAGAGAGATGGGAGAGACAGAGGGGGAGGGAAGGAAAGAGAAGGGAGAGAGGAGATAAGACTGACTGACTGACTGAGTTTAGTTTTACGCCGCTTTTAGCAATATTCCAGCAATATCACGGCGGGGGACACCAGAAATGGGCTTAACACATTGTGCCCATGTGGGGAATCGAACCCGGGTCTTCGGCATGACGAGCCAACGCTTTAACCACTAGGCTACCCCACCGCCCCAGAGGAGATAAGAAAGGGAGTGAGAGGAGAGAAGAGAAGAGAGAAGGAGAAAGGAAGGGAGAGGAGGAGAGGGAAAGGGAAAGATAGAGGAAAGAGATGGAAGGGGAGAGAAAAGGAGAGATAGAAAGGGAGTAAGGGTGGGAGGGAGATGTGAGATAGAGAGGGAGGAAGAGAAGGAAAGGGAAAGATAGAGGGAGAGAGATAGAAGGGTAAAGGGAGATAGAGAGGGAGAAAGGGAGGGGGGAGAGAGAGGAAGTGAAAGAATAGAGGAAGAGAGGGAGAAAGAGAAAGAAGAAGAGAGGGAAAGGGAAATATGGAGGGGAGAGAAAGGGAGAGAGAGAAAGGGAGGGGAGAGAGGAAGACAGAGAAAAGGAACAGGGGAAAGGGAAAGGCAGAGTGAGAAGGAAAAGGAAAGAGGGAGAGAGAGAAGGAGGGGGAGATAGAGAAAGAAAGAGATACTGGTGTGGACTCAAATCGGATGTGCAGTGTTATAAGCCTACCCACTGCCCCTCAGAGAGCTACATAGAGCTAAAGCTATAATGTGTGTACCAGTATTGTTTGAGATGAGCCTGATGACCAACTACTGAGCTACTGAACAAAACTTAGACTAACATATATGTCTCCCCACTAGAAGATCAACATTGCTTTTTTTCATTTATTATGTATTTGACAAAATATTGTACCAAATTTAAGTAACAATAATTTTTTAACAGTTTCTAGCCATTTCTACTTAAAGGTATCATATAAATACAAGGAAGAGCTTATAGCTGTGGAAAATAATTTTACCTTCTGATTTCATTTGATAAGAATACGGTTTCATACTTCCCCTATATGATAGATATAGAGGATATTACACGAGTGTCCATGTCATACTATGTTTACGATACGAGTGCCTAAATGTTGGTAATCCTGATAGAGAGTGAGGGATATACCAATATTAAAGCATGAATTTTGTAAACATAGTATGACTGACTGACTGACTGAGTTTGGTTTTACGCCGCTTTTAGCAATATTCCAGCAACATCACGGCGGGGGACACCAGAAATGGGCTTCACACATTGTACCCATGTGGGGATTCGAACCCGGGTCTTCGGCCTGACGAGCCAACGCTTTAACCATTAGGCTACCCCACCACCCCTCATAGTATGATATGAGCGTTTCATTTATTACCGGAGTCGTCGAATTGAGGATAATAAACCCAAATCTACTTTCAAACATAGGCTGGCTACCCACCATCACTGCATGTAGAATGATACGTCATAGAAGAAACAAGACGTCATAGCATTGTTCATGACATCACGTCACCATGACAAAGTGATATTTTGCCCTTGAGCATCGTATGAAAAATATGAACCCAGATATTTTCGCCCTCAAAGGTAATAATAACATTTATCTTCACGATCAATCTCAGAGTTTACAGCAAAAATCCAAAATCAGCAGTTACTTAACTTTGGGGATGCTGCATGCAAAAAAATAAAGATTCTACCTTATATTTTTATGTATTAGAAATATGTTTCTTTACTTCAACTATTTTACAGATGAACATAGGGCGGTGGGGTGGCCTAGTGGTTCGCTTGTCACGCCGAAGACCCGGGTTCGATTTCCCACATGGGTACAATGTGTGAAACCCAATTCTAGTGTCCCCTGCCGTGATATTGCTGGAATATTGCTAAAAGTGGCGTAAAACCAAACTCACTCACTGACTCACTACAAATGAACATACCATGTACAGTGAAACCAACCTACCAACATACCCAGCATGCTACAGTCATAATCTAAAAAACAGCCTTTATGTGGCTTCAGGGATGTTGCAAGCAAAGAGAAATGAAATACAATGAACTTAAAATGAGCTAGGCCCAAATACCATAACTTCCAGAATCTATCTACCTATCAAGACAAATCAGCATTGAGAATTACCTACGTGATTTCACATATCAATATGGCTGGCAAACTCAGGGAATAAGAAAGACAGAGCACATCAATTTCAAAATACTTCCTCAATTTCATCAGGAAAGGCAACTTCAATTGCCTACATGACAGAAAAATAATCTCTTTCCTATTTTACAGCTCAAAATCACTTTTGTGAACATCCAACAAGAATATAAACAGAAACCCAATATTACTACGACTATAGTCTCTAAACTATGTACACCTATATCCAAAATGCAACTACTTCACACCATAACCCTATAGCCATATAGAAAACTTCAGAAAATTCTTCAGAAATATGTCGGATGGATCATTGCCTGAACACATTTCCTTCTTTCCTCCCAATGATATCTTCTTCAAAACTAACCATGAATGTGTGAATTAGGTACAATGGCAGCTAAAATTGATGATTTATGAGTCACAAATATTCACTTTTTGATTAAACATGCAAATTGTATGTATATTCTTGTTTAGCAATGTCTGCATTCCAATGCACGTGCAATCAGTAAGCTGAACCTGATTGTTGTGTGTCTTTTTATGTTTATGACCAAATATTTCAGGCCAGTCACCAGTGCATGGCACAACAAGAAACCAAAAAGAATTACTCTCCTCACAATTATTACCAATAATGTGGGTGTAATGTTTCTAATTTTGTTGAGTATATTTACTTTAAACCAAGCACTGAGCGCAGGAGTGAGTTGTGTACAATGGCACAGCATGGTTTGACGTGATATGATTATTTGATAATTGGGAAACAAATAAAATTACGACTTAGCAGTTGATGTATTATTCA